ATAGCGACCCCTCCTTGGGTTTCCGAGGCAGTATCACTACGGAAGTAGGATTTGCCCAACCTTCCTTCCAAGGAGTGGCTGGTGGGTTTGAACCGCCAGACTTCTGGTGAGCAGTCAAGTGCCTTAGGCACTATGCTACCAGAGCTCCTTTTAAACCACTTAGTATCCCTTTATTCTGTTTGAACAGCTACTTCTTGCTCTATGTACATGTTCTTCATGAGCACAATTAAGTGTTGTGGAATTCCCATTCTTCACAGTGTTAACCCATGATTTGTTATAATCCACACGGTTGAATGTCTTGCACAGTCAATAAAAACAGGTAAATATCTTTCTGGTTTTCTTTGCCTTTAGGCAAGATCCATGTGACATTGCAATGATATCCCTTGTTCCATGCCCTCTTCTGAATCCAGCTTGAATTTCTGGAAGTTCCCTGTCAGTGTTCTGTTGCAACTGATTTTGAATAATCTTCAGAAAAATTTTACTTACATGTGATATTAATGATATTGTTTGATAATTTCTGCATGATTTATTAGCACTAGAAATCTAGTATGTACTTTTTCCACATTGCAAAATGCAGAAACCTAAAGTATATAGATTTATTATTATTGAAAATATATATAAAGCCATGCAACTAACACCACAATCAAGGTACAGAACATACCTCTCTCTAGAAAATGCCTTTATACCAATTTACTCTTTACTTCTCATTGATAATCACTGTTTTGATTTCTATAACTATAGACGAGTTTTGCCTGTGACCTTTATATAATAAAAATGATACATTGTCTCCCTCATATAATAAATATTTTTGAGATTGATTTATGTTTTGCATCTATCAGTAGTTCATTACTTTTTAATGATGAGTATTATATCATTGTATGGATATACTGCAATTTGTTTATTCATTCACCTGCTGATCATCATACAGGTTTTTTCATATTTGGGTCTAGTATGAATAAAGTTGTTATGAACCTTCTTGTACAAGTCTTTGTATGAACATGTGTTTTCATTTTTCTTGAATGAAAACCTAGGAGTGAAATGACAAGGTTGTATGCTAGTTGTATGTTTAACGTTCTAAGCAACTCGTAAACTTTTTTCCAGAGTGGTTTGTAATTTACACATATGTTGGCATTGTATGAGAGTTTTAGTTCCTCCACATACTCTTCAATATTTGGTATTTTTTTTTAATTTTATGCATTCTAATATATATGTACTGGTACCTCATTGGGTGTTAATTTGCATTTCCCAAATGCATCTTTTCATATGCTTGTTTACCATTTGTATATTTTCTGTACTAATGTGTCAATTCAGATGTTTTGTCCAGTTTTTATTGGGTTGTTTGGTTTCCTTCTTCTTCTTCTTTTTTTTTTTTTTTAACATTTTTGGGGCTTTG